TCCTTCCCGTAAAGTCGAGCAGATTGAAGGCTTGTTCTTTACTGGACTCTACCTTTACTCTTGTCACTTGCATTCTGATTGCTCTTCTAAATGGAGTCGAAAAGGGGTGGAATCAGTCTCCAGGGAATTATGATAACTGGCACATAAGACTGTGCTCCTCATATGAACATCATTTGTCATATGTGACAGAGCAGAAAAATAAAATATGGGGAGTAGCTAGCCTGCGTGACCTGTCATATGGAACAACTTTAATCATTTTGCTGAAAGTTTTGCTTTAAATCAAGTAACTAGATCAATGCTTGTGTGAATGGGGTTCTTGACAAAACGCTGTCTAAGCTGCGGAAGGTACAGTGTGTAATTACACGACAGACTCAGTGAGTATCAATAAGTTTATTTTTAGACGCATTGCCTCTGGGGGCAGAATTGGCGCAGGTCGTTCTGTAACTGCCTTCATAGCAGCACGTGCTTCTTGCTAGATTTCTTTTTTGTTTTGCTGCTGCGCCTAACGTGTTCAAAGAATGTCTCCCATCCTAATGAATATTCAGTGTGCAGTGATCCTAAAATTAATCATTTGTTCTTTGCTTCTACTAGAATTAGTATAGATAATAAAATAAATAAATTTTTGCTGAATCTCATCATTAGGAAGTATAAATATTTGAAGGTTAAATATGTCAAGTCAATGGTGTTAGAAGACTTGTTTTCTTCCTAGTCTGGATGAACCAGATTAATTTTCAAGGGGAGGGACAACTTAACTGACTTTAAAAGTAAGTAAGTAAAAAAACATTCCTAGCTTCTGGCTCCTGCCTCTCTTCTGAGTTGGGGGGAGTGACACCCAAGGAGGGGTTTCCAGGTGGCTTTCAGACCTGATTTGATACCTGGATGCCCTGCCCGCGTACGAGAGCCTGAGCGACAGCACATGCTAATGCTTTTAGCCCAGTCATCTTTCCTGAGTTGTTTCCACGCCACCTTTTCCTTTGGCTGGTTCCCTCCTGTGGTCCTAGGTCAGAGCCCTTGCTGGCATGCCCATCAGAGATTGGCACCCAACTCCTATTAGAAAGGCTGTATTAAATCTCAGTCGAAGCAAGTATCTTCTGTCACTGGCTTTCTTTCCATAAGATTAAAAAATTATGGTTAGGTTTCCAAAATCCCTTTTTTCCTCTGTGCATTCTCAGTGTACATTTACCTTCCATAGGTTTTTGTCAGGATCCTTTTGCTCAGCAAGTCATAGTCCTCTCAATCTGATTTGGGGGTACCCTCAGCCCTTTCCTTGCTTTGCATCTCAGCAAGGATTGCTTTTGATGGCCAGCTCTGTTTATGTTTGTTGTGGATACATCACGTGGGGGAGGATGTTCACGGAGTCGGAGGTGAGGCGCAGGCGTCTCAGTGGCAAGCTGCTGGGTGATGTGGGCTGAAGTTCCATGGGCCATGAGGAGGCCCACAAGTCTCAGCTCTTTCCTTTTGCAGTGACAGGAGGCGTCCATAGAAAGCAGTTGTTTTGTATTCTAATAGGAGACAGGTTGCGTCCACGTTGTGTTTCCTCTAGTGCACATTTCTGTATTCATAAATGTGTTTGAAGCACTGCACATCTCATGCCCAAGCAGCTGTCTCTGAGATGATGGCCGTCTGCTTTCTGATCCCCCTGGCCTAAGCCTGCTTGCTTCTGTCCCAGGTGCCATGAACAGATTCCTCTCCCTGTGATAGATAGTACCTGCATGCATGTGAGTGTGTGCTCGGTCCTCAGTGGCTCTCCCTGGCCCACATGTAGGATCATGTCCCTGCCCCTTCCTTTCGAAGAGGCCTGGGGCTGTGCGTCCTCCTGGAAGATTGGGTTTCTTACTGTCCCAACATTAAATTGCACCACTGGGTTGTGGCAGCCCTCACTTCTGCTGCTCCTTTAGAATAGCTTTCTCCTTTGCTGATAACCGCAGCCTGGCAATCCTTCACTATCCAGGCGTTTTGGAGGGTTGGCTGCTTTCACTCCCTCCCAAGAGAAGAGCTCTCATGGGATTCCCATTCTAGTGGGAACTCTCCTCTCGCTCATCAATATCCCATGTGCCTCAGTGAGGCCCTGCACAAGACTAGAATGTTTTTAAATCTTGAAAGGGTATTGCATGAATAAATGCATGAATGAATGATTTCCTTGCCTTTATCAGCAATATTCTTTCATAATGCTAATGCATAGAAATTAAGGTCTTGATAATTGTATCGTACTTCAGAAAATAAAATTATATGTTCAAACTGATGAGAGCTCATGAACATCTAGTGATAGGACTTGTTTCATAGCAAGAAAGCATCCTTGAAAACAGTGAAAATGGCCGTGGCCTTGTGACTTTGCAGATGAGAATGGAAAGTAAATTTCCAGCAGTAATTAACCCTCCATTTATATGACCTGTATTTAAATTTGGGAATTAAATAACTTACCTTGTTAACTGTTTTCAAGATAATGGGTTTAGAGTTAAGAGGAGACAGTTTAGCCACATTTAGCTAATCATTAGTGTAATAATAAACTATGAATAGAAATCTTTCTGGAAGCAGATCCCCTGGGTCTGTACTACCTACTCTGGGTGGCCGTGGGATTCATCTCACAGTCAAGGCGTGAGTGAGGCAAATCCAGGTAGATTTTAGCAAATGTCTCCTTCTAAGGGATGAGAACAATATTCAGATCCTCCCTGCAGCCTCTTAGAACCAGACATCACAGTGATAATGAATGAAGTAGCTGGGGGACACATCTTTCCTTCAGGGGACAGTTTGGGTCCTGTTTTCCATTAGGTTTCATTTGTAGAACTGTTTTCCTATTAAGTTTTTTGAAGGACCTAAGTAAGGCTTTTTAAAAATAATAAGATACACTTAGCACTGCCTCAAAATGCCACACAGTAGGGAGATTTTAAAAACAGTCTTGAAAAGATCCAGTATTTCCATTGCCCTTTGACAGCGCCGTGTCTGCACAGGCTGCTGTTTCTCTGGCCACACGCACGACGCAGTGAGCACTTCCAGTTTGCACCGGGGGACTGCCTGGCGTGCAGAACCCCAGTGTTTCACACGCTCACTCCCCGTTATGGGCCACACTGGAAATTTCTCTCTTGCTGGGATCGGTCCTCTGAACTCAAGATGAACAAAAAAGGTTGAGATTCACAAAGAAGCAAACCAGAGAGTGTGGTGGGTGTCTAGGATCGGAATTCTAAATGATCAGAAATGCAGGTTAGATAAACACGACTGCAAGGAAGAGCACATCCCTGCATAAGACGGGGCGCGACCCGCAGGGCTCACGGTAATCGAGTCGCTGCAGTTAGGAGAGCGGTGACATGAGCAACTTGGCACGTTTGTTAAAAAGCCTGGAAGCTTTTTTGCAAAAGGTAATATGCTATGAGATGTCAGAGTCTGTCCCTTAAAGAAGGAGGAACTCAAGTGAGAAAATGCTGGAAACGATGGAAACTGTAAAAGGTTAAAGGAGTTAGTCTTTCGTCCGGAAGGACGGTAGCAGTTAGAGCTGGTTGGGGGCCCAACGCCATGTCCCCTCCACGCTCCACCTAAGGGTAAATTCCTTAACTTGGGACACGGGGACCTTGAGTAGATGAAGGAGGGTGTGTAACAAGTGTGTCATTGCAGGCAGGAGCTTTTGAAATCTTGGGCTGCTTTAGGAACAGGGTAGATTATCCAATTGCAAGGGTCTTCTGAAGGCAGAAGTGTGGACTCATGACTTCTGCTTTCTTGACTATGATACACATTTGCGCAGTCGGTCTCGTTTACAACATACTTTAACATGTGCCGTGTTTTTCATCTTCTCAGCAGCCCTGTCAGGAAGGCAGTGGGTTTTTTTCCCCCTTAAAGAGTCAAGACCTAGGCAGTTAAAGGGGCCGCTGCCAGGCCGCACAGCTCCTCTCTAAAGGGTAGAATTACGCCTCTCTCCTGTTCAATGGAATGGCGCACAAAAGCACGTGCGAATGGTTTTCTTAAATTGAAAATATGAACTTCAGTGTGTGGACCTCACAGCTCACTCTAAACCTACTAGTTCTGCCTCCAGGGAAACCGAATAGGCGTTTACCCATCAAATTTGTTTCTGGAAAAGGGAAGGAATAAATGTTTGCTTTCCAAAGTGCACATTTTATGAAAGCCACACAGATTGGGAAGGCAGGGTAGGAGGGATCTTTTCTCTAACTCTGAAGATCGCTCTGTTGTCCCGACAGTCACTACTGCCTTCTTTTCTTTTTCAGAGTGAAGACCTCCCTGGCTTCATTACCACGACATCACACATCAGAGAATCGCTTCAAAAGAAGAGGATCAGCATTTTTTTTTTTAAAAAAAAATTTAAGCTGCTTACAATTTTTCTTTTGGATCTGAGCAATTACCTTGTTTTAAACATCTGTGACTGTATTAGACATGGAACCAACAAGGCGAGAACTTGCCTCGCTCGCTTGTTCCCACAGGGGGCATTCATCCTTGTGCTGTTTGTGTTGTGTTTTGTTTAGTTTCTTAACACATTTTGCCGAAGAAGTAATTCTCAAGAAAATTGGATGTTTTCATTGGCCTTTCAAACTGTGGCCGGTGTCTTAATTTCTTCTTACTTTCATTTTGGCAAGGCCAATTTGTCCCTTGGCATGCTAGGAGATCCTACCAATACCCATTAAAGTGGTAAAATCTGGTATTTACTGGCATACACTCAAAACTACCACAGTCCTACCTCAGTTCCAGGTAAAGCCGGATTTGCGTGGTTGGGGGCCGGCAGGACCTCCCGTGTGTCTCTGCTGAATGTAGCGCAAGTGTGGTCATCAGCCTTATGAACTGGTTCCAGTACACAGCTGCTTGTTGGACTCCTACCCAGGTACCTGCGTGTTTACTCACAGACAGAGCCCAGTGTGGGACTGACGTTTCTCAATGGAAATGAGATTTGAGATCGGCCTTTGAAGATGGATTAATAAATAATAATTATATGTAACTGAAGCAGCCTACTTTTGAAAATCATCAACTGTATTGGGTAGTGGGGGGTGGGCCGG